ATTAGGAGACAACTCAAAATGTCTGAATTGGATAAAAGCACTAAGAATTTGGGAGTTCCTCTTCTTTGGAAGAAAGGAAAAAGTGATTCCTTTGATTTTATCCTTAAGAGACTCAAAGCTAAATTAAATAAATGGAAAGCAAATTTTTTGTTCTATGCTGAGAAAAAAGTACTGCTCCAGTCAGTCAAGCAAGTCATACCAGTTTATTGTACGGATGTCATTAAGTTTCCAAGGAAAATGATAGAGGAAATGGGAAAATCCAGAGGGTTTTTTGGGTGAATGAGGGAGAAGGCAGGTGGAGATTGAAGTGGGCAAGTTGGGAGAGGATTTGTTTTTCTAGAGCTGTTGGAGGTTTAGGGCTAAAAACAATGGGTCCAATGAATAAATCCTGATTTGTAAATTAGCCTAGAAATTTCTTAACAAGAACAACAGCCTTTGGGTTCAGTTGTTTAAGTGTAAATCTCTCTGCAAAGCAGAGTGTGTCCCTAGATGAATTCCCACCACTACTTCGCTTATCTAGAAAGTTATAGCAGAAGAACTTAGAGGGTTAGCTCAATCGATAGGATTTCAGATTCATGGACAGTCAGAGTTGGGCATTCAAGATAAGCACTGGGTTAAATCGGATCAAGGTTTTAGTTGTCCTTGGGTCCCCCTCCATTAGATTCTAAGGACTTAAGGGTAAGAGACTTAATTTCCACATCTTCAGGAGAATGGAATGAGCATTTAATCTCTAATCTGTTTCAACACGGAGAGATTGAGAAAATTCTGGAAACACACATTTTTAATACAGGCACTGATAAAGTTATATGGACCATTAACGCAAATGGAAAATTCCGAGTAAAAATTTTATCAAATTGAAGAGAGGAAGATTATGGGGGAGCAGGACTTGGTTTTAGCTCATAAATTGAGGAAAGTGTGGAAGTTAAAAGTCCCTCCAAAATTTTAAGTTTTTTGTAGAGAATTCTCAATGGATTTGTTCTCACAAAGTATGACTTGTTCTCCCGAGGTGTGGTCCAGGAAGTGAATTGTTCGATCTGCTAGGATAATCAAGAATCCCTCTTCCATCTTTCTATAGCTTGTCCTCTGGCTAGAGCTATTTGGTTTTCCTGTGCTTGGTCTTGTTTATTTGGATTTTCATTACAGTTGTCATCTTTGCATCAACTTTTTTTATTTGGTATTGTTTAGTGAACCACAATTATCTGAATTGCTAAGTTAGTTATCGGTGGCCTGGTACTACATTTCGCAGGGTAGAAATGAAAGAATTTTTGCAAATTCAAACTTTCAGAGATTGACCCTTGCAAGATTATTAGACAAATTAACAAAACTTTGCAATTTAATATTTCAGATTTAAATGATTCTGGTGTAGAAAGTGGTGAGCAAAGGATTGACCTGATTCCTATATTAGAAACAGGAGCTAAACTTATTCAATGTGATGGTAGCGTTTTAAAGGATGAGATTGGCTATTATGCTTTCTGTGTTTTAAATAGTGATGAATCATTTATGGTGGCTGCAGGAGGGAGATTAGGAGTTATTATAACACATCTTGAAGCAGAACTGAGGGCAATTTTGAGAGCTCTCCTTTTTGCTGCAGACCAAGGGTGGAGGAATCTAGTGGTTGTCTCGGATTCCAGATTGGCTATTGAAGGTTTCTCAGGAGGATCATGCAATATTTTTTTCATCACGCCAGGAAAAATTAGATATTATTTTGAATCTTCGTAAGAATTTCTCTTCAGTCAGTTTGGTTTATAAAAATAGACAGGCTACTATGGCAGCCCATACTTTAGCCCAAAGGGTTTGTCCCAACTGGCTGGCTGGACCAGTTTATTTGTAATATTTTTTGCTAAGTAATGCTTATTTATATTTCAAAAAGAAATTCACTTTCCATCTGGATATGCCAAGTGTAACACCAAGAAATTGTTACAATGAAATCTTTACGCAAATCAACCATAAATTTTTTGATCAGAAAATCAACCATAAATTTCATCATCAAGTTTTGTTATACAAAATTGCAGGTGGTCAAAAACATTTTAAATAGATCATAAAGCACAAAAGGAATGAAGATATCATGAAATAGAACAAAACTCCAACATGCAAAAACTGGAATACTAGGGATCTCACCAGCATGAGCATTTTGTGAAAGAAACTGCTCCACTATATCCTCATTTTGAGCTACTGTCAAACTAATACAGGGCAATGTGAAGACAAAAGAATCAATAAAAAGGATATATCCCCAAGGAACCAATAATGACAAAAAGTTATAAGTTATACGCATCAGACCTGCAAGTGCTGTAAACAAGCGACCCCCCAACCTTTAGCAATCTGAAACCATTACTCAAAAGTTGTAACTGCATGGGATAAAAACAAACAATCTAGGGTAAATCAAACTAAGTAGTAACAAGGAAGCACATAAAACACTGTATAAGTATGAAACAAGTCAAAAAAAAAAATTGAAGGTAAAAAGGAAACTTCATTAAAAAAGAAAAAACAGTACATCCTGATAGATGATAAGACATCACCCTCATAACAAACAGAAGCAAAAGCTAAACAGAACATCATACTACAAAACATCCTAGATACACATTTGATATTCCAAAAACTCCCCTAATCTATCACTTAAATCTTCTTAAGAGACTTGACTGAAAGCTGGAGAGACCAGAATCCAGTCTGCAACCGAGTTACTGTTAGCTGCCACATTTTTTTCCATATTCCAATGTTTGTCTTAAAAGACTCTTCCGTTTCTCTCTTTCCAGATGTTCCAGCAGATAGTGAAAAGCAAGCAGCTCCAAAGGATCCTTGCTTTTTTTACTTCCTCTTAACTTTGGCAAGGTGGAAAAAATTTCTGCAGCACTTCCTCGCTGAAAATCCGGCACTCCAAACATTGAAGTGAAGAAACTCCACAAAAAACCAGCAACCTTACAATGAATAAAAAGATATGTAACAGATTTCCTCCTGTTCTTTGCAGAGAAAGCACATGTTGGCCATGCAAAAACCTCTAGCCTTTAGGTGATCCACTGTAAAAATACTGTCCATAGCCACAAGCCATGCAAAAGCCTCGATCCTTGGAGGGATTGGATTCCCCACAAGCCATGTTAAAAGGATTTAACAGAGAACTTCCCATTTGAACACAACTTCCACCACAGTTCATCTCTTGTTTGTGAATATAACATCATCTCCTCTAATTTCTCCAGCAAGTGCACACACTCCACCTCTCTATCTAGTAGAGGCCTTCTAAACGTAACAAACTTTTACATTCATAAAAATGGAATCCAAACCAAACTACAAATCAGAACATATAAAAATATGTAATCACTTGACCCTCATTAAATAGAACCATTGTGTTCCCTGTCGATAGAAATCAGCAGAAATATATAAAAGACTGTAGAAAGAGAAGAAAGAAAGGAAGAATTTTTGAGAGAAGAGAAGAGAATGAATGGAGAAAACAAAGAGAAACCAATTATGCTGGATGCCCTCTCCCATTAACTTCTATACTTTAAGAGAAAAATAAGTACAAAGACATATATGCCCTTAATAGGGTGGCTGATGCTAACAACTTGCAAAAAGAAAAGAACTACTGCTTAAGTAACTTCTAACTAATAGATTGTGGTCCCAACATGCTAACTAAACAAAATAAGTAAAATAAAATGTTAACAGAAAAATCCTCAGCACTCCCCTTCAAGTTGGGTAGATCATGTTCAAGCTTGCTATTTGTAACTCCCTAGGGAAAGACATCAGCCAACTGTGAATCAGAAGAGACATGGTAGGCAAGCCTCTCCAACTTTGTGTTGTCTATCAATTTCAATATGCTTTGTGTTGTCGTGTTGGACTGGATTATGGACAATATTGATTGTCACTTGATTATAACATCATAGATTCTTCTGCATCAATCCCAATCTCACTTATTAAGACCTAATCCAAAGAAGTTCAGAGATATCATGTGCCATATATCTGTACTCTGCTTCTGCACTTGACCTGGCCACAACTAACTGCTTTTTACTTTTCCATGAGACTATTTCCACCCACAAAGGTACAAACTCCTAATGTAGATCTCAAGGCACATTGCCTAATCTGCATCTGTATAGGCTTCCAATTTCATGTGCCTATGCTCAGCAAACAAAATTCCTCTGCCAAGATGTTTCTTCAAGTATGCAAGAATCCTATCAATAGCCACCCAATATTGAACCTAAGGAGCATGGATATTTTTTTTCTTGATAAATGTAATGAGCATGCATATACTGGATCACAACACTGACAACATAAGAAATATTTGGATGAGTCATGCACAAATACAGTAGTTGGTCCACTATTCTTTGATACCTCCCTACATCCTTAACCAACTCACCATTTGAAGCATTAATCTCGTGGTTCTAATCAACAGGAGATGAATATCCCATGTTTGGATCTTGCAACTTCAATCCCTAAAAAATACTTCAGCTCGCCTAGGTCCTCGATTTCAAATTCTTGCTGTAATGATTTTGTGGAGAAATAGACTAGTATTTTAGTGAAGTCCCTGCCATTATCAGTTGTCTTTTCTTTTATTTACTTGTTATTAGTCTTTTGGGCCTATTGTTATTAGTCTTTTGGGCCTATTATTATTTCTGTTTATTAGTATTTCTGGGCCTTACTAGGCCTATTGTTATTATTGATTAAGGAGTGTGTTGGGCAGCAGGGGCATAGATGTCTTTGTGTTTATTATTGTTATAATTCGGCCTGCCTTTGAGTTCTGTTAGTCTGATAACAGCCAAGAAGAAAGAGGAAGAAAGAAGAAAGAAAGAGAGAGAGAAAGGAGGAGAAAATGAGAGAAGAAAAGTTTGGGTCGAATTAGGGAAAAGTTACTCTCCCATTTGGCCAGACATGTTTTTATATTAATAATATAATGGAAAAGACACATGTTCCCTTATTTAAGTGAGAGACACTAGTTCTAATATAATATTACAGATCAGCAACCTCAACATAAGTATAAAGACATAAATACCCCTACACTAACAATTGTTTTAATAGAAGCATATAAATTCTAACTCTGGGCGGCAGATACCTATTCTATTTTGCGCCCTTTTTTCTTCTTCACATTCTTCTTCTCTTCTCTTCTCTTTCTCTCTTCTTCGGTTATTTCTTTTTTGTTTTTCCTGCTGAAGCTACATCAGAATTCTGATCAACTGAGAACAGCACCCGCCATCTTGGTATCAGAGCAAGGTTTAGGGTTTGCTAGGGATCATGTAGGCTTCTTCCAGCCGGCCACATGAGGATGCATTAGGGCTGGATTCTTCAGACTGTCTTGCCTGATTCTGAGGTTGATTGGAGAAATTCTTGCTGCCCAAGATCTGCAATCTTGGAGATCACCAATAACCAGGAAGAATCAGAATTTTTTGGATCAGTTTAAGGTTTATGGGACTAAAGCTTCAATTGGCATTGGCACCCAGTGGTTTCTGAGTTAAAAACAGTCCCTTTATGAGATCCGCAGCTTGTAGACTGATTCTAGGGTTTCTACTGAGAACAGGTCAATTTATTGTTTACAACCTATCCCATTTACTTCTTCTGTTCTATTTTCAGTTCTGGACTGTTAAGGGAGTAGTTCAGTCTTGGAGTTTGTACTGGATTACTGCTAAAGCTTTTGTTCAGATCTGTTAGAGGAGTTTTTTGAGGTCTTTGTGGTGTGACCAGTATGGAAATAGGTGGGAAGGAACCAAAATCCTTTGGAGAAGGATCTATGGGGTCTGAGAGTATGTCAGATAATACTTTTCAGATCACTACTGTTAATTGTTAAATTTGATGGCACAAATTACCTGGAATGGACCCAATCGGCCATGATGGCCATTGGGGGAAGGGGAAAGCTTGGATATGTAACTAGAGACATTAAAGAACCAGCAAAGGGAGACCCAACCTTTGCAAAATGGGTTCAAGAAAACTATCTAGCGATGACTTCGCTTTGCAACTCTATGCAGCCACACATCAGTAGAAATTACTTATGGGTGAATACTGCCAAGGAAATCTGGGAAAATATGAAGGAAACCTACTCACAGCCCCTTAATGTTGCTAGGGCATATGAGCTGAAAAGTGAAGTAAATAACCTTAAACAGGGGGAGAAACCTATATCTATTTACTTTTCTAGCTTAAAATCTCTATGGCTTGAGATTGATCACTTGGAGACCATTGAATGGGAAAGCCAAAAGGATGCAACAACTTATAGGAAGTTGGTTGAAACAAATAGTATTCGAATTTCTTGCTGGACAGAATTCAGATTATGATATTGTAAGGCAATAGTTACCCACCAGGGAGTGTCACCTTGTCTCAAGCCTATTCACTAGTACACAGTGAAGAGAGCAGAAGGAAAGTCAAAATCTATTAGTGATAAGGAGAGGGAAATGAAAAGGGAAGACAAGAGAGATATGGTGTGTGATTATTGCAAGAAGCCAAAGCACACTAGAGACACTTGTTGGAAGTTGCATCCTCATCTTGCTCCAGCAAGATTCAAGAATAAGAAGGGGAATGCCAATGTAGCAGTTACTACTAATTGTGCATCCTCCTCTACTGCAAAACCCACATCCCTAGATGGATCAGCTACAATCAGAGCTGCCTTAACTCAGTTAGAGTGTGAAGTTGGAGCCTCGGGATCATCTCAGTCTTCAGCTGCAACATCTACTACTACTCCCACTTTCGACTTTTGCTCACTCAGGTACTCGAGCTACTACATATCATGCTTCAGCCCCAGGTAACACTAGCCATTTTTGGATTGTTGATTCAGGTGCTTCTAACCATATGACTAGTTTATCCTACATGTTTACTTCCTACTACTTATCTTCTGGCAGAGACAAGGTTTCTATTGCAGATGGCTCCCTTGTACCTATTTCAGGCAAGGGAGATATCAGAGTGTCTGATACCATCTCATTATCCTCTGTCTTACATGTCCCTAAACTTAGCAAAAATCTAATTTCAGTTAGTAGCATTACTAAGAATCAAAATTGCTCAGTAACCTTTTTTCCTGATCATTGTGTCTTTTAGGATCTGGTGACAAGGAGGGTGATTGGGACTGGCTGTGAGATGAATGGAATTTACTTGAGCATCCACCTAGAAGGAATAAAGATATTGGGAGGTCTTTTGTGTCTCATTCTATGAGTCAGATTATGCTTTGGCATAATCAATTGTCTCAATCTGTGAGTCATATTATGCTTTGGCATAATCAATTGGGTCATTGCAGAGTCTTTTTCCTACTTTGTTTGAGTCTGTCCAAGTGTCTAGCCTAAGGTGTGAGAGTTGTGAACTTGCAAAGAATTGTAGATCAACCTATTGTTTGAGCAATAAAAGAAGCATTGTTCCTTTGGAAATTGTGCATACCGATGTTTGGGGACCT